GCACGCTCTGAGGTTGGGTCTCTGACACCTGCTGTCAGGAGCTTTCCTAAGCACATACAAGACCATCAGGAAGCCCATAAAAGCAGCACCACTTACAATTAAGAGGAAAAACTCTGAAGGGGGAATGAGGCTGTCAGTCGCTGCTTACCTACTGAAAAGGGCAGATGCACTCCTGGGCCTTCACTCCTGGCTCCTTGGCACTTAAAGGCGTGAGAGCTGTTCTTCCCTGCTCTCCTGCCCTGGCTCCAGGCGTGTTAGCTATTCAGAGCAAGATATGACCTTCCCCACCCACTCACTCTCAAACAGTCTTCAAGGTCTCAGAAACCAGATGTGTCATTAAAGCCTGACACCTTCAAGAACAAACAACCTAAAGGATGACACTGTTGAGGAGTCACGGAAGCAGCACGTCGCCAGGACACTTAACTTGTTACTCGAATGATTTGTGTTTTCAACACTCCCCACCAATGTGTTCTCTAGCAGCTATAGCAACTCTTCTCACAGAGCAAAGATGTGGATGCATGAAGCAGGGTCAATATGAGAGACAGAACTTTGGCACCAGGAGAATTAATGACTCCCTCTCCCTCAAGGCTGAAGTGCTGGCCCCAGAAAAGAAAAACACCTTTTGAAAAGCACTTAAACCCAATTAACAAAACTCTAGCCCACCCCTCCCACCCTTTCTACTTGGATAAAATTATCTCTCTCCTTTGTCCTTTGGCCAGCTTGACATTCTCTGAGTCAGTCTCTCCCTGCTTGAGCAAGAGATCCCAATAAAGAGTTTGTTCCTGTTATATCTATGCCTTTATCTGGTTCTTTTAATGGAGAGCACAAGAATCTACTGGAGCTTTAACACAATTACCCCAACAGCTTCTCCATTCCTCCTGGGACCTGCGAGCGACTGTAAGGAAGAGTGGACTTTTTTACTCACTGAAGCAACACTGTACCCCTGAGGGTTATGGCCCAGCCTGGGGATCTGGGGTCAGGGAATGTACCTCCTGCATACCTGGGGGAAGGCCAGACTTCCCAAGAAGTCAGTCTCATTTTCTCTGTGCCCCATGAGAAGAAAAAACAAAGTGTGTGGTTTGCAAAAAGAGAGGCAGCAGAGGCTCTCGTCGCCAAGTAATGTTTCCATGTGGGAACTTTCTGGTCAGCTTTGTGCAGAATTTGGTATAAGCTCTGCCTAGTTAGTGTGATCATGAACTCTTCAAGGGTAAGGACTCTGGGCTCTATCTGCCTACCTCAGAGCCTGGCACAGTGTAAGCGCTTATTAAATGCCAAGTACTGATAACATGTGAATCAGATTGCATTCCCCTCTGACTCCAGCCCTGGGAGGGACACACAGCAGCTATGACTTACATTCATCTCCATCATCTATGGCACCTTCCAGATGGAGTTAAATGTCAGACCTGTGCTGAAAAGCAAAGGTAAGCCTGTGGCAGAGCCTGCGAGACATTCTGACAGCTCACTGGGATGGCTGTTGCTGGGACTCCGCTGGACTCCCATCCTGAATCAGGCCTTTCCCAGCACTTCCTCCCACTTCCTTCTCTAAAGCCTGGACTTGCCCCTCCCCAAAACCAGTCCAAACCATCAAACTCACTTTCTAAAAGATGTCTCAGAATCACTTAACCTCACCCTGGGTTATCTGCAAAGAATCCCATTTAAATATTTTATACTCCATTGAGATGTCCTGGTTTCTTGTTTGATTTGTTGTAACAGTGGTGGCCCTTTGGGCATTGTCCTAGACAGGGTTGTCTCCCTTCCCTTTGCCTGGCATTCTAAATTCTAAAGAAAAGTCACACTTGAGTGACATCTCTGTCAAATGTTAAACAATCTTTCTTCCAGATGTACAGAGCCCAGAACATCTGGGGCCTTCAGAGAACACCAGAATGGGCAACACTCCTCCTTATTCTTGAATTCTGCGCATTAACTAACACAAAACATATAAATTGATGCAATATTTAGCTTGCAGAAATGCAATATGTTTGTAAATAGTTCCAGGGGGCGAAGGTCTCTTGTAGTGTGGTCAGATGGGGGGAAGAAAGAGACACAAACCCTGGATGATCAGGACCCTGGGCAGCAGGAATCTTGCTTGTCCTTTGTCCCCTGCTTTAACTTTGTCCCCTGATCCTCCTTTCCTTCCTTATAAAAGCCCTTGGTGACCCCTGAATTCCCTGAGAAGGGGCTCTGAGGCAATAGCTCCCCCATTGTTCAAGATGCTGGACCTTGAATAAAACTGATCTCCTTCCCACCAACACTCATCTCCAGAGTACTGGCTTTCCAGCAGCGAGCAGCTGGACCTGGGTCTAGTACCATTCTGAGCTGCAGAAGTTATAGATCATCTGGTACTTTAGAGATGGTCTGGTCTACCAGCAATGTGGGACAGACCTTATTTTTTTTTAATTGAATAAAAAAGACTCTAATATAAAAACCTCAGTGTCACATGTAATAAGGGTGAGTACAATTTCATAGAACTTTGGTTTCAGCTACACCTACATAGGAGTGTATGAGGATTGCAAAGTGAAATGTATCTCTTCTAGTGAGTCACCATCTCAAAGAGTCTGAAAAACACCAATCTCCTTCACCCATGTTGCCAACAAGGAAATTAATGCACAGACAGGTAAAGCATGTTGCCTGAGGCCACCAAGCTGGTGGTTTAGGAAGAGCTCCAGGTCCTCCTCCTTCCTAGATCAGTGCTCTGCCCACTACTACCTGCAATTCTTTGGTTCTGTGCCAGAGAATACCTCCAGAATAAGGCTGTCAGAGACCCCAGTGAGTCCCCAGTCTTGCCAGAGCAGGACTTGATCAGCTGACCTCAGGCAGGGGTAGCTGGCATGGAGGGACTGGAAGCTTTGGCTGAGATGGTTTTGTACACACTGCCAAAAGTGGCCTTGACTTTCATCTCAAGAACTTTTAAAGCAATTACTAAATTAGGGCAAAAGCACTTACAGAGGCCACTTGAAGATGGATGTCAGGGCTAAGAGGCTCTCCAGCGTGTCAGTGGCATTTGTCTCTATCTGCAGGAGAGCAGGCCAGCAGAGGAGGCCTGCGATGAGATTCTAGGCTGCGATCTGGGTAATTGCTCACCCATTCAGACTCAGTTGCTCTCTCTAGGTACACAAAGAGTACCCCCCTCTGGAAGGGCTGCCTGACTTTGCAGTGCCTCCTCCAGGTCAGAGGGAATGGGGTGAGGTGGGGTAGAAACTGATCCAGCTCCCTCACTTTATAGATTAGAAAACTGAGGTTCAGAGCGGCCAAGAGACTTGAGCAAGATCACAGAGCTAGCGGGTTGCTTTGCCATACCTGATTCAGATCTTCTGATTTCCAGCCCCCCCCCATATCTCAAATCTACACACAAAGCACCTGGATATCTTGTTACAATGCAGATTCAGTGTGGCTGGGGTGAAGCCCAACATTCTGTGCATCCCTAAGGTATTTCAAGTGATGCCCAATGCTGCTGGTCCATGTACCACACTTGGTGTAGCCAGCCTCGACACCATGTTGTCTAGAAGGATAAAAGCTCCTTTGAACTTCACCTCTGATTATATCAAGGCCCAAACTCCCTGCTTCAGGCAGACAAATCCTCTAATACTGACAAAGATACTAATTTAAGACAATAATTATTCTTTTGACATGCATCAATTACTGGTATGCAAGCGCTGTTCCAAACACTCACACATATGATCACATTTAATGCTTACAACTCTGACCATCCCTATCTGACAGATAAGGAAACTGAGATTCAGAGAGGTTAAGTAACTTGGCCTAAATTGCACAGCTAGTAAGTGGCAGAACCAAGATTCTCACTCAAGTCTGTCTGATACCATGGTTTAATGATGTAAAAGTTACATACAAGTGCCTCCCTCAAATCTTCCCTTCTCTGAGCCTTGGCCACCTCTCCCCAGGATTCTCTTAACAGTCCTCTAGCCATTGTGCATCCTTTAGCACTACAGGCCTCAACTCCCCCAGAATGTGGACTCTTTCCCCCCCAGATTTGTATCTATCCCAGTGAGCTATTTTGGGAGTTATGTGGGGAAGGCCCAGGATGAAAAAGAGCTGGGGCTCAGGGTGATAGGTAGATGGAAGCTTATGGTGATCTATTCTTTTTTGATCGGTTGTGCTTCCTTTAGGGCTATTTCAGCATAGACTCTAAAATCCCTCCACACAGGAGCAAACTTTGTAGGGAGGGATCTGCACAGTGGGCAGGTGGTCTGCAGCTTCACACAGCTGTGGACTTGTTGGGGATAGATTCCTACAGAATACGAGAAAACCCTTGGAGCAGGACAGGGGTGTGAGGCAGAGGCATGGGGTGGTACTGTCCTGTTGGTATACATCCAACCTCTGCCCAAACCCAGCCCTGGGTTTCAGCTTCACCTTCAGGGTTTCAAACCACCCTTAGTTATACCACATTCAATCCCATGCTTCCCAAATGTGAGTTTACTGTGTTGAACGTCTACAGTGATTGAATAAACACAGTGCCCGTGACCACATGTCAGTTCTCATGATGGACCTCATGCCCCTGTCTCCTGTCTCCTGGAGAAGCCGTGGAGGCAGAGAGAGGAGCGAGGACAGGGGAGAAGTCAGGAGAGGCAAATTCATTAGGCCACCATATAGATGTGCTGCCTCTACAGAGGGAGGGCCAATTCAGAGTCGGGAGGGGCCCAGAATGCCAGATAGGCCATCTGGCTCTATCACTTAAAAACTGCATTCTGGGGCATGTTACTTAACATTTCTGTGTCTCAAAGTCCTCATCTGTAAAATGTGGATACCAGTAGATGGTCCCTAGCTCAAAAGGGTTATGAGATTCGGAGTGTATGGTTAGCACTAAGTAAATATGAGCAAGGGCTTAAAAGTAGATATGGGATAGAAGACACCCCTACTCCACCCAGACAGTGATAAGGAGGCATCACACAAGGTTCCATGGAAAACTGAAAGTGCTCTTTATGTTTCTGGTTTCTACACACAGGCACAGAGAGCACAGAGAGTGGTTGAGACTGGGTACCCACCTTTTTAGGGCGCGTTCCAGTTCAATCTTCTCCTCATGGGCTTCTTGGAGTTGGGAGATGATTCTGGTTAGAAAATCTTCAAAGTTGGACAGCAAGTGAGGTTCGTCCTTCTTCAGCTGCAGCCAGAGTTGCTTCACGTCGTCTTCGCTGCAAGAGAAGGAAGGACGTTAAGGTGGGAGTGGAGAAATGAGGCTCTGCAGGAAACGCAGTGGTTCCCAGAAAGGAAGTGGACAGCTGGAGATGACATCACCATCATCATCATAAAAATGAGAGTAAGAGAGCTGCTCCAGAGGCTGAGGCAGGAAGATTGCAAGTTCAAAGCCACCCTCAGCAATTTAGCAAGGCTCCAAGCAACTAAGCGAGACCCTGCTCAAAATAAAAAAATATAAAGGGCTAGGGCTGTGGTTCGGTGGTTAAGCACCCCTGAGTTCAATCTCTGGTACCAAAAATTCAAATAAAATAAAATAAAACAGTAAAAGAACTAGGGAGTAAAGTTGATACAATTACGCTATGTGCAAGTATGATCATATCACAATGCATTCCAGTTTTATATCCAACTATAGTGCACCAATTAAAAATAAATGAACGATAGTAGCTAACATTTATTGAGTGCTTGCTGTATGCAAGGTGCTTTTTGCACATCGGCTCATGTTATCCTCATGGGAAGCCTGGGAAGCAGAGGCTGCCGTCATTCCCATTTATAGATGCGGAAACAGAGAGAGGTGCAGTGTGCTGTGATCACTGTCATAGACAATGGAGTCGGGGACATGCTCTGGGTGGACATGACTCCAGTGATGGGCTCCTTTCCTACCTCGCTCTGTTGCTTCCACTCTCTGTGTCTGCCACAGTGGGCTAGAGGTGTGAGCACAGGCAGCAATGTACTCACAGCACCTCAAAATGCCAGGGAGAAGTGAGGTGGCTGGGAGCCAGTGAAGGTGGGGAAAACCGCTCGGGAGCTAAAGGAACAAGCTTGTCACTTCCAGGAAGAATGGCCTTCACCACTGAGAGGTAAAGACATACCATCTGATGGATGGTAGAATGCAATTGTCACTGTGGGGAAGGGAAGAGAATAGGCAGCACCCCCTGGGGCCCTGTGGCATGTGAGTGACTGGCAGGCGAATGAAAGGGAAGGAGAAGTCTGAAGGATGTGGACGCACAGAGGGAAAGACAAGTGGACGGCTGGGAGACGTGGAGGCAGTCAGAGAGATGAGACGCAGAGTGACAGGCCCAGAAGCACCCTCTAGAAATGGGCATGCTAGAGCCTGAGCCCACCCAGCACAGCAGCAAAGACTCGTGGGGCCACACTGATCATCAAAGGGAGGACGAGGAGAGGAGCCACATTCCTGGGCCCTGCTCTCACCCTCTGGACTAAAAAATCTATGGCCGATGATTGAAATAAGTCAAACATAAATCTGATTTGCCCCCCACTGAGTTACAAAACCAATATGATTCTAGGGCAGCTATGACTATGTCCCTTCAGGACAAAGAATAAAATCCTTTGGGCCTATGTAACAAGCGCTATGTTTTAGAAACTTTCCTCAGAAGTGATATTTCGATTGGGCCATGTTAGAAATGTTCTTGGGGAACAGGTATAATTCTCTGCACCCAGCAGAGAAGAGGCCCTCTGAGAAATAAACCCACCTCTGGTTAGTGTCTGTTCATCTCTCTGCTCCCTTCCTCCCTCCATCCCATGCTTTTTCACTACCATCATTTCTTGCTTCCGTTCCATCCAAACATCTGCCTACTTACTGAGACCATCCATCCATCCAGCCAGCCATCATGCATGCACCCATCCACCCACCCACCCATCTATCCGTGCACTCATCCATCCAACAGGGGTGTGTGGCAGAGGCATGGGGTGGTGCTGTCCTGTTGGTATACACCCAACCTCTGCCCAAACCCAGCCCTGGGTTTCAGCTTCACCTTCAGGGTTACAAACTACCCTTAGTTATACCACATTCAATCTCATGCTTGAATATTTATCATCTATTACAAACCTGGCTCTGTACCAGATGATATGAAGGAGTCCAGGAGACAAGAGGAGGGGAGGTAAGGAGTCTCTCTGCTTCCCCGAATTCCATTTTCTCCACACAAACCATGTCGTGGGTGTCTACTTCATTGTATAGGCAAAATGTAGATGGCACAAAGGATTTAGAGACAAAGGGTCTCAGAGAGACACCCTGATGACCTTCCATCCTTGTGGAAGATTGAACCCCACTGGGGTATGAATGATTGTGAGCTTCCAAATTTCATATGTTGACATCCTAACCCTAAGTGATGTTATTAGAAGGTGAGGTTTTGTGGAGGTGATTAGATCACATAGGCAGAATCCTCATGAATAAGATTAGTGCCCTAATGAAAGGGGCCTGAGTTTATTTCTTTTTCACCATGGGAGGACATAGGGAGAAGACAGCTATCTATGAACCAGGAAAAGGTATCTTACCAGATATCAAATCTGTTGGCACCTTGATTTAGGACTCCCTAGTCTCCAGAACTATGAGAAAATCAACCTCTGTTATTCAGAAGGCACCCATCTATGGGTGTTTGTTAATAGCAGCCTAAACAGATTAGGCCCCCCTTTCATGAAGTACAAGCATTATGAAATGAAGGTCCACCTTGCTAGCCTAGGTCATCTGTTCACATCTTCCACGTTCCTATGGAGCCTGGGAGAGCAGCCAACTGGACTAAAAACGCCAATGAGATTTGCAGACCCACTGGCCACTCTTCCAGTGGTCTTTGAAATTCTTATTAATGGCCATACCATATTTTCTGACTTTTGAGGAAAAATAAGCCAAAGCCCACAAATCACTGGGCCAATCAGACTGCCAAGGAAATTGGGGCACCTCTGGACACACTGAGGCTGCCCTTATGGAGGGATATAGGCCTGCAGACCAGAAGGGTCCTGGGAGATGAATAAATCTATCTCTCTGCTTCCAGGACAACATAGAAACCATGATGCCTTTGGATATCCAAGCAGAACTTTTGGATACCTTTGAAGTCTTCACAGCCTCCTCTACTTCCTCTCTGGGGTCTCTCAGTCACGATCATTTCTGTCATGCTGCAGCACTTCCCTCAAATTCAGTGAGGATGGATTTTGCTGGTCAGCACCAATTTTTCACAGACTACTCTTGAAACTTTCCCAGTGCCTTCTCTCCTCTGGAATATCTCGTTTTAGCTCACTTCTGCTCAGGCCTGTGGCATAGGTCCCTAGAGTAACATAAGGTGAATTCTGACGTGACAGTCCCTCTAGGAAAGCAGCTGCCCTGGAAGTGAAGAGCAGGTGGGGAGGCCCCTTTCTTTCATGACAGTGCCTTGGCCTAGCTCACCTGCACTGCGCTCTCCTTCCCCTCCTCCAGGAGGAGGCTTCACAGGGTCCCTGGCTGTGGCCTCTGTGCTCTGGTCTCTTGTCTTAGGGGAACCTGAATTAGATGTTTGACTAGTGAGCTTCCCCACAACCACCTGTGCCCTGACACTCCCCCTGCCCCCTCCATCTTCCACTGGCCTAGCCCCTAGCAGCCACTTCTGGGCTGCTGCTCCTGCCCCTGCTGCTGCTGTCAAGTTTTACTTCCTGTCCAGGGCTTCCTAGGAGGCTCCCTCCTAGGCCAATGCTGTTCCCCTCCCACCTGGCACACCTTAGCCATCCTTTCTCACCTCCGACACAGTCCACCAAACTGTTCACAAAAAATTTCAGAGCTCTGGCCTACGTAGTATGTGCAGGGCCCTTATCTCTTGCTCCCTTTTCTACCATGGCCCCTTTTCTTCCCAAGCTCTGGAAATAGCAGCTCTAATCATTAGGCTTTTCCCAGCCTGCAGGAAACCCACCCAACCCCAGACCTAGAAGCCAAAAATGGAAGGGATAAAGGCCACAGGGAAAGGGCCATGGTGTTTACATGATCTTCAGGCCCACTCTTTGGTTTCTCTCAGCTGCATCACACATTTTATTATTTTATCTTATCATATTGTGTCTTATTTTATCATATTTTTATTTTACTTTAAATGTCAGGGCTTAAGTCCATGTGTTTCCTCATTCAAAATTACTTTGTAGAATACAAATAAAAATTAGGGTATTGTATTATTTGAAGTTCCAACCCTCTAATTTTTTTCAGTTGAGCTGATGACGATCCAGATGGTGGACTAATGAAACTGGTTAATTTCCCACCTGGTCTTCCTGACAAAATTTGATTTGCTCAGGGATACAGCATGCAGAAGCCTCCCTGTGAGAGGCCTTTGCCAGGCACTCACCCAGCCAGTGGCTGAAGTGCACCGTAGACCTGGAGACCCAGGGTTGGCTCCATTGCAGGTAGGAATACTGGTGAGCTGATGTCAACAGGAAGCATTAGAGAAGAGTCAGAGTGAACTCTAAGGCCTGGCCTGGACCTCTGATGTGGGAGCACCCCTTGGAGGATGAGGCAGACCTAAGATTTGTGATGATAATGTTCAGCAGGAAGGGAAAAGTGGAGAGGGCAGGAGAGAAGGAGAATAGGAATATTTGCCAAATTTTAAAAAATATAATGTAGAGACAGATCTGACTGGCAAAGGGCAGGATGTAAGAAGCAGGGAGCCTCGCTGGTCAACCATGGGGACTGTCACTGCAGGCTTAGCAAATATGAATTATTATTGAGCAGATGAACAAATTCCTCCTAGGCTGGGCTCCATCCCAGGTTGCCATTCCCACTTACTCTTCCAAAACTTTTTGGGCTCCTAGTTTGTCCATCAACCTCTGGAACTGATCAGCTTCCTCATCTTGGTCCATGTTGCCCAAATCTTCATCCCCTTGGAACTGGTACACCTTCTCCTCTTGGAGCTGGGCCACCTGTTCACCTGCATCCTCCTGACCTGGATTATTCTGGCTGAAGAAGAAGTGACCTGGGGGTACAGGGCACAAGCATCTCAATTAGACAATCCTCACCCAGGAAGGGCTTGGCTTACTCTGTTGCCAGGAGTCATTTGAAGTTCATTTGAGAGAAACAAAAGGGAAAACCTCTGATAGCAAAGATCTGTGGGCATAATGCCCCAGACTTTGTGTCTTGTGTTTCCATAAGATTCTTCTTGATGCCAGACCCCGGGAAAGGCAAATGCCTGACAGGTGGGAGGACTCCTTTGTGGTTCTCAATCCTCTACAGTCTGGTTTAGAATACATTTATTTGCTGGTTTTTACTTTAAACAAAAATGTCTTTTAAAAACCTCTATTGCCCTCCAGCAGCCTGAAGACCCATGGTCCAGAGCATCATTCCTGTCATCCTCCCTAGCCCTGCTCCCCTTCACAGGTGTGTGTTACTCTCCACACTCATACTGGATATAATAGAAATGTTGCTGGTTGGTTTTTCTGATCTGATAATATGTCTGGGTTCATTATCCTTTTTGTGGATCTCAATTCTCCTTCTTGCTGGTTATTTTGAGAAGGACTGGTCTACTCAAATGCTCTAGGAATTTCTCTGATGGCTGGTATCCCTCAACCCATCTGACTCAGCCACCCTCAAATTGAAATAATTCATATAGTAGTCCCATTTCTTTTCCTTTTCACTTTTTTTTGTATATCAAGGCAGAAAAAGAGGGGCTGAGACTCTCATCACAGCTCCCTCTTTGTGCTAAGCCTTCTCCAGAGCTCCCCTCCATTCCCCTTGCCATTCTCAGTGGGAGGGGCCTGGGCAGGGACACTGGATGGGTAGTGGTGTAAGCAGTTGATGTGGGCATGTGAAAGAGGCCCCCACTCATCTAGAGTCTGGCAGCCTTGAGCTCTGCACCCCTGAGATGAGGATAGGAAAGCCCGTACTGAATGTTCTGCAGACCTAGAGGGGAAAGAAATGCACTTTATGTAGCATTAGGCAGACTCACCTGGGGTGAGTCCTGGGACTCCAAGTACCTATCTAAACTTACTAAATCCAGTGGTGAACTCCTCCGGGGTCAGGAAGCCATTTCCATCAGCATCCAGGGCATCGAACACATCTTCCAGTTCCTCCAGGCTGAGGGGCAGCTCCTTGTGGAGCCTCTGAAAGCAATCCAGACCACACTGGTTAATGCTTTGACAGTCCTGGGGGCTGACCAGGGCTGCAGGGCCTTCTGCCTAAAGTGTCTAGAGTTTGACTGTCCTACAAGAGCCAGGAGACAGCTGCTGTCTCCAGACTGCTTTCCAGTCTTCCTCCTCCCATGCCAGGGAGAACAGCTGCCACAGGTATAAAGCTACCAAATTTTTGGTGATATAAAGCTACCAAATTTTTGGTGGTAGAGGGGGGCTACCAGGGATTGAACGCAGGGGCACTTGACCACTGAGCCACATCCCCAGCCCTATTTTGTATTTGTGTTTTATTTAGAGATAGGATCTCACTGAGTTGCTTAGTGCCTCACTGTTGCTGAGGCTGGCTTTGAACTTGCAATCTTACTGCCTCAGCCTCCTGAACCACTGGGATTACAGGCGTGCCTCACTGTGCCTGGCTCCAAACTCTTAATATCTGTACAGGACCAAATATCTGTAGGAAGACACTTCCATAACATGGTGATATAAAGCTAAATGAAATAAGGAAAGTAAAGTACAGGACACAGCACGTGGTCTGTGAGAGAAGGCACTCAATTAAAGTGGAGAGGGAGGGGAAAAAGGAGCAAAGGAGGGAGGAAGGGAGGGAGGGAGACCAAAGACACAGAGAGTGACCCTCCATGGCCTGGAGGCACCTGGTAAGTGAATGGCAGAGTTAGGTTCTCCATCCTGGTCTTTCCCTCTACACAAACCTCTTTGCCATGCTGCCTCCCCAGGGAGCAGGTGCAGGTCACTCACTCTCAGAGGCCTTCTATGTTGGAGGCCCCTCATGCCCCAGTGCCCCAGTACCACTTTTGTAAGTTTCTGGATGCACACTTTGGTTCTCAGCTCTGAGGGGATGCATAGCTCCTCTTCCCTTTGAGTGGCCCATGCTCATTACCCCTAGTGTGTGTTCCACTCTGCTCCCCATGGCTGACCCCTAATTCCTGATAAGGTAGTAACTACCAATGGCTTAAGGTATCAACCCCCAAGAGTATTTATACTTTAAAGGGGGACAGAACAAGATGGTGTGAGGGGTCATAAAAAAAAAAAACACTGGACATGACCCCTGGGCTGAGTAGCCCTTGATGGCATGAGGAACAAGTGTCTGAGCTGTTGATGTTTCCTTCTGGCCTTCTGCCTGATGGGCAATGGCTCCAGGTCAAGGTTAATGTGCTTTATTGAAGCCAGTGTCCTCTCATGCCCTAATAATCTGTGTCCAAATGAGGACTCCCCAAGGAAGTTCATAACGTCTCAGCTGATCAACTACCCCTCAGCTGATCAACTACCCCTCTTCCTCCCAGTCACCCAAGGGGCAATTGCACAAAACTGCTCCCTTGAAAGTGACAGCTGAAGACAATGAATACAGAGCTTTACGGAAAGGAAGGTATATACTCACCTGAACAATAAAACAGAGCTGCAGGTGTGAAAGCCTGTAACATGGCTTGCAAGAACACTTGGCGAGATACTACAGCAATCTCCTAGCTGATAAGCCATGAAGTTTAATTTGACAGGTACACGCATTACGGGAGACTAAGATGCATTACAAAGTGGGGAGAGAGAATGATGTGAAACCCATTTTGAAAAACTGAATTAAATATGTATGGGTTTTTCAAAAAAGAAAAGAGAATGAGAGGATGTGCAAAGACACTAGAAACACATCTGCTCAGCATACAGCAGCATCTCTGGCTTAGCACAATCTATAAACCAGCTGTCTCAAAAACCTCAGCAAGGGAACATGGGGTGAAGATGGAGTCAATTTTGCAAGCAGGAAGTTTATGAGCTCTACTTGAAACAAAAGGTATCACTGGAGCTCCTGGCAAAGCCAGATTCCAGTCCTTTCCTTGGGATAAGCCTTCCTCCCTCCCCTTCTCAGCCTGGGATTGCTGGATCTGATGGAAAATAGGGGATCTCATGTTGTGCTGGACCTTGAAATATGCTGGAAAGAAAGCCCAGAGGTCTGTGGGACCTTCAAATGCCTTCCCCCCACACCCTGTCTCCTGCTAGCATGAACCAGGGAAGATCTTCCATACCTTATTTGGGCACATTCCTCAATCTAACAATACTTGGACCACAAATGCCCCAGATTATCTAATCCTAATCCCTCTTCTCTACATTGCAAATCTGAACAATAAAACAGAGCTGCAGGTGTGAAAGCCTGTAACATGGCTATTTTTTTTTTTTTTTTTGGTATTGGGGATTAAACCCAGGGGCAATTTACCATTGAGTCACATCCCCAGCTTTTAAAAAATTGTTTAGAGACAGGGTCTTGCTCAACTACCAAAACTGGCCTTGAACTTGCAATGCTCTTGCCTCCGATTCCAAGTTGTTGGGATATGAGGCATGCGCCACCTGGCCATATCACACCTGGCCAACTTCCTCTCTCTACTGTAGGTGAAGATGGGGAGAGCTATGCTCTGTCTTCCAAGTAATTCCTCCTCTTGGCCTGGCAATTAATGCTGACTGCTTCTTTAGCCTTTTTTGCAAGATGTACTACAGCAGTTTCTTTAACCTTTTTTTGTTGGCTTTACTTGAAAAGTCTTTTAGTCTTAATAACCATAATTATCTCTTATTTATCTTTCTTCTCAGGGCCTGCAGAGCCATGTAAAATCAATTTATTCTGGTATGGTCCCCTGGGCACCTGGTGCTGTCTCCATTTTTAACGGAGATAAGTAGGGTGGAGGGGAACAAGATTATTTATTCCACTGCGCAATAGGCCCTGGAGGTTCTGAGATCCTCCGAAAGTGGCAGTGGAGACCAGAGCTGGGATAAAGAACCGATTTCTCATTCAGGGCCTAAGGAAAAGTCTAATGGTTTTCTAATGTCTAAATTCTTACCTCTGTGTCTGCTCTACACCTTTCCACCTACCAACCCACCACCACCACCACCATCAAGTTCAAGGTCTCTCTTGCCAGTCCTACCAGGAATTAGTCTTCTGTTTCACTTATCACATTTTGCACATAGCAATGGGAAGAAGGTCTATTTGCCCTGGTCGCACTGCCCACAGCCCCAGGGGCTCTTGAGGCCTCCCTGACTCCTTGAAACCCCAAACTCCTTGAAACTCCTTTTTCATTATCAGCTCCTGTGTCATTTCCTCAGTAAGACCTTTGCAGACATACAGACTCCCTGAGCTGCATTTCCCTTGTTTACAGTCTTATCTCAGTTTGCATTTTGTATACCCACAGATACAATTAGCTAAATGTCCTCTCCTGTGGTATGTGGAGAACAGGGATCTTGTTCATTTTTACTCACTGTTGTGTCCCCAGGGTCTAGTCCAATGCTGACAAATGTGAAGTATTTGGGTATATGTTGAACAAATGAGTAAATAACTGCATGACTAAGAGCGATGGCAGGAGATCCTGGTATCTTCGTATCTTCAGGGCGTTGGTCTAGACCTGAATGTGCTCCAGATCCTGACTAGCCATGCTGCTGATTCTAAGCAAGGGCTTACAAAGTGAGACTTTCCAGGACCTGGCACGGGAAGTGAGCCTGCAGCAGCAGTACTGAGGGCTCTGACTCCCGAGCCATGGCAAAATGATGGCTTTCCTCGTACTCCAGCCAGATCCCTGGACCTTCCTGGTCACCGGCCCAGGAACATGCCTCATGTGGCTTAAAGCACGAGGTTGCACAGCTTCAAACATGCTCAAGCAAAACTTCCATTAGAGAGAAAGCCAGAGGAGGTCCACGTTTATGATGAGAATTGAACTCTTCTGCCTTTGGGGGCATCCACAGCATTCTGTTCTGCCTTTGCTGGGGTATATAGCCCAGCTCCCTTTCACCCTAGGGGGGATGGGAGGTTGGAGGAGGCAGCATCAACCTCTACCCTGCTCTGTACCTTGGTGTGCTTGGCTTGGGCTGCCTCACCTTGAGCCCTAAGGAATGGAGCCAGCTAGCTATAGAGTGAGACTTCTGAGGCTGTGAGTCCTCAAATAAACTTCCTCTTGGTATAGACCCAGGTCTCCCAACTTCTGCATTCCTGACATCTGGGAATAGAAAATCCTTTGTTGTGGGGGCCAGTGGAAGGGAAGGAGGTGGGGGAGTGTCCTGTGCATTCTAGGTTATTCAGCAGTGTCCCTAGCCTTTACCCACTAGATGCCAGTAGCAGCTCCTTCTCAAGTCATTTCAATCAAAAACACATTTCCAGGCATTGCCCGAGGTCCTCTGGGGAGGCAAAATCATTGCCACTCATGTAGACTGGACACAAACAAGAGTAGCAGCCACTGGGCAGGACTGGAAAGTGCCCTTTTTAGCAGAAACACCCTTTTTTTTAATCTCTGAGGCAGGACAGATGACTCACACCTAAAGTCACACTGGATGGTGTAGCCATTGTGGAAAATGGGATGATGTTTCCTCAAAAAGTTAAAAATAGAATTGGCAAATAATCCAGCATTCTAACCCCAAAGAATTGAAAGCAAGAACTTGAAGAGCTATTTGGACACCCATAGCCACAGTAGCTATTATGGTATGGATGTGATTTATCCCCCAAGAGCTCAAAAGCTCTGTTTATACATTGTCTGTGGATAACTTCAGGCTGTAACCACCAAGTTGGTGAAGGTGAGAGAGACTACCCACCTACAAAACAGAAAACACTGGTTCTCTGGACCTTTATAAGAAGTTTGCTGAGCCCGCCCTAGCAATGGTGGGCCCCTAGGCTCTGCCACAGGCTCTCCCTCCAGATGTGCTTTGAGAGGGTTGAGAGCAAAGGTGAGATGACGCTCAGAAATGCCCTCTCCCAGCATGCCGCATTGGACACTGTCCTATCCTAAGGCACACGCAGCAGAGATGACTTCGTTGAAAGCAACAGATCTGTGCCTTTCTATCTCTACTCTCAGAAGGTTCTTCTCTGTGTCTTACTTAAGTCTCTTATGTTACTATCATCATTTCTCACAATCCTGGGGAGTTACTCAATCAGAGAAGAAAAACGACCCCCAGTCTGACCTCAGGTAAAGGACAGAAATAGAATGAATGCAGGAGGTCCGGGTCCCAGTAGAGTTTGGGCTGACCTTCCAGAACTGAACTGAGGTCTTTTCTGTTAAGGATGTCACCTCCTGTGGGGCAGTTCTAGCTCAGGACAAGAATTTCCAGGTGCCTGGGTGTTCCAGGTGGGCTGGCCCAGCTGGGACCCTTCTTACCTGCAAGTCCCTTCTGGCGATGAAGCCCTTGCCTTCGGCATCACAGGTCTGGAAAAATTCCTGCGACTTCCTCAGCATGGCCAGCTGGCCTGGCGCCTGCTCCTGGGTCTCCCTGCGCTCCAGGTGGTGCTGCGGACTCAGGCAGGCGCCGCTCCCATCTGGCTCCCCACCAAGTCCCTGGGGTCTGCGGACCACTCTCTCACCAGGGGTAGCCATACGGATCGGCCAACTTCTCTGTCTTTTCCGAACCTAAGTATGAAGATGGGTGAGAGAAACAGGTGTGACGAGGACAGAGTGGGGCTGGAAAAGAACCAGAGGGGATGAGAGGAAGGTGCAGAGCCAGTCGCCGGTGTGTCCTGACATCTCTTAGCAACCGCCTCTTAATTAATAGAAGCTCAGGACGCAGAAGAAGTGTGCCAGGATCGACAGCTAAGAGATCAGCTAGTCCGCAGGAGGGGAGGAGGCAAGAGTAGAGAAACAGGAATTTCCATATTGGAAGGAGACGGGTAGAGGAAGCCTGAAAGCAATTTCTCCTTATTTAAACAGGCACACAACAACTAAAACAGATCCTGATAAGCCAGCCCTTTATTGTTTTCTTAGAGGCAGACACTTTGTCATAGCCTCAATATATACTTTTTTTTTTCATGGAATTTTCACATCCCTTTGAGATGGATATTATTCACTCCCTTTTAGAATTCAGAATAAATCCATTTTACCAATGAGAACATTGAGGATCAGAGAGGTTGAGTGACTTGACCAACATCACACAGCAAGTTAATGCAAAAGCTGAGATTTCAATTGAAACTCATATAACTTGTACAGTATTCCATCTTAATCTCACACTGTCCTAACTTATCAGCACCACCAAGGGTGGAGAACTTCCCTCGTTCACATGCATTCTCTCCAACATCACTCACAATCAACAGGTTCTTGCTGAGCTCTTACCCAGTACTGCAGACATCTGCCAGGATCATGAGCTCTGCAGTTCAAGTAGGGGAAAGTACAACCTATCCTCAAGGAGCTTCATGCTGAACTGCACTTGCCAGGCCTTGGTGATACCCTAGCCTGTGTTCATCCAAAATAGAACCGAAGACTAACAAAGGAATATTATAAAAAAACTTTATGCCAATAAAATTGGTAATTTGGCTAAGATGGGAAACTCCTTGAAAAACACACCAGAGATCAAAGTTCTCTCAAGAAGAAACAGAGACAAATGACCCTATTAATGAAATTAAACTGATAGTTAAAAATATTCCTATAAGAAAACTTTAGGTCCAAAAACTAAATTGAAAAATTCTACCAAATATTTAAAGAAGAACTTACACCAATTCTACCCAAGCTCTTCCAAAAAACTGATGTGTAGGAACTACTTTCTAAGAGTATACAAAGGCCAATATTATCCTGACACCAAAAGCTGTAAAAAGATAGTACAAGGAAAGAAAAATACAGTCCAACTTCCCTTGTGAACATAAATGCAAAAGATCTGTAGAAAATTTTAGCAGATTGAATCCAACTTCATATATAAAGACAGGGTAGTATATCCTGACCAAGCAGGGTTTATCCCAGGAATGCAAGGATGGCTTAACATTTGAAAACCAATAATACAAGTCACCATGCTAACAAATTTAGAAGGAAAAACCTTATGATCATCTTTATAGATGCAAGAAAAGTATTTAACAAAATTCACTCCTGACAAAAACTCTCAAATAACTAGGAATAGGAAGGACCTTTCTATCCCAACCTGAACAAGGGCATCTTCCAAACAAATCAAAAACACCACCAGCTAACATTGTCCCTAATGGTGAAAAACCAACGTTCTTCCCTACCATCCATGAAAAGACAAGAAGGTCTGCTCTTACCACTTCTATTCAGCATTGTGATGAAGATTCTAGCCAGTTCAAGGAGACAAAAAAAGAAATAGAAGAAATTCATATTGGAAAGGAAAAGGTAAATCATAGTTAGTCCCAGTAGCATGATTATTCATGTAAAAAAAATTGATGAAGTTCACCAAAGTTACTAGAACTGTAAGTGAAATTGACAAGGTGGTAGGACACCAGCTCTAATCATAAAAATCAATTGCATTTTTCCTATGCCCACGATAAAAAGTTAAAATAGAAATACCACTTACAGTAGCATTTAAAATATGAAATGTTATAGTACTTTTAAACTGAAAGCTGCCAGTCATTGATGAGAAAAGTTAAAGATCTAAAAAAAAAAAGTGGGTGGGGGGGGGGGGGAGATATGCCATACATATTGGTTGGAAGACTCAATATTAAGAAGCTATTTCTTCCTAAATTCAATATATTTATCTCACTCCCAGTCAAAAGCCCAACAGGCTTTTGTTGTTGTTGTAGAAATTGACAAGTTGACTTACACAGAAAGGCCAAGTGCAGAGAATAGCTAAACACTTTGAAAAAGAACAAAATTGGAAGATGAACACACCTGATTTCAAGGCTTATTATAAAGCTACTGTAATAAAGACAGTGTAGCATTGGCATTAAGAGTCACAAATAGCTCTGTGCAGGCTGAGGTGTAGCTCAATGGTATACTACTTGTTTAGTATGTGTAAGGCTCTGGGTTCAATCCCCAGCACTGGAAGAAAGTATACAGAACAGAATAGAAAACAGAGAATCCATAAATATATTATAATAATTTGAGGCAAAGACACAAAAGTAAATCAGGGAATAAATGGTAGGTTTTTTTTTCAACAAATAGTACCAGAAAAAATGGATGCCCATTTTCAAAAAGAACTTCAAACTATACCTTATATTATATACAAAAATCAACTCAGAATGTACCATGGACCTAAATATAAAGACCAACACAGGAAACTTCAATGAGAAAATACTTTTGTGGCCATAGCTTAGGCAATGATATCTTAGCCCCATAGCAATAGCAAATCCATAAAATCCTGATATATTGAACTTTAACAAAATCCAAAATCCCTGCACTTTGAATGACATTCGTTAAAGAGAATGAAAAGCAAAGCACAGACAAAGTATTTATAAAACACTTATCTGAGAGAGAATTTTGACCCAGAATATATAAAGAACTCTTAAAAACTCATTAAGAAAACAAACTCAAATTTTTTTTTTAAGGGGCAAAACTTTTGAACAGGCACTTTATTAAATAAGATACATTGATGTCAATTAACTACATCAAAAGATGTTCACTGACATTGGTCACAAGGGAAATGCAACTGAAAGCCACAATAAAATACCACTACCACTTATTAAAACAGCCAACATTAAAAGAACTTGACCAGACCAATTCTTGGCAAAGATGTGGAGCAATTGGAATTCTAATACATGGCTGATGGGGATTTTAAAGGGAACAACCTCTTTAGAAAATCTTTGGCAGCTTTATAAAAAGTCAAGCTCTCACTATATGATCCAGCCATCCCATTCATAAATGTAGCCAAAATAATAAAAGCATGTGTACATACAAAGACTTGTACATGAATGTTCATAGCACTTTGATTTATAACAGTCCAAAACAACAGTCCAGACATTCACCAAGAGGTGAATGGATAAAGTGATTGTGTGGCATATCTGAAAGGCCAAGGTTCGTGGTCGGAGATTAAAATGCACACACACAGATAGCAGTGACAAAGATGAAGCACCTTATTGCAAGCTGGTGCTAGCTTATATAGAAAGTGAAAGTCAATTATCTTAAACCAGGAAGCTCCCGGGGCCTATCATAGTAAAGGTCAGGTCATCACCTACGGTGCACGCACATACGCCTTGCATTAGATTCATGGGGATCACGAACTGTTCAGGAACGCGGAAGATGGGAGGACCAATTCGAAAATTTTCAAAACAACTTGTTATCCGCCCACTGGCAACTTGCCTGCCACCATGTCTGAAACGCCTGGGGAGTTCTCAGGGAGACTGCCAACAATATCCATATGATGGAAAGCTACTCTGCATTGCAGGGAATGAGCTCAGCAACAAAATGGATAAATCTCAAAATAAGCGTGAGAGTAAAAAAAGCCAGAAAAAAAAAAAAAGAAAAACAAGCACATGTTATATGATTCTATATACATATTTAAAATTCTAAAAAATGGAAACTGATGTATAATGATATAAAGAAAATAGGGGAGGGAGAGGGGGATGAAAAGGAGAAAAAAGCAGGGCAAAAGAAAATTTGGGGATATATGTGGATATGTTCACTGTCTTAATTTCACGAGTATGATATATGAATCCATGAGTTTCATGGATTTATTTAGTTGGTTAGTGTTATGGTTTGGATGTGAGGTACCTCCCAAAAGCTCACTGTGAGACAATGCAAGAGGGTTCAGAGAGGAAATGATTGGGTTGTGATTAACACAATCAGTGCATTAATCTCCTGATGGTATTAACTGAGTGGTAACTGGAGGCAGGTGGGATGTGTCTGGAGGAGGTGGGTCATTGGGGGCATGGCTTTGGGGTATATTCATACTTGACAAGTGCAGATCTCTCGATCTCGATCTCTCTCTCGATCTCTCTCTCTCTCTCTCTCTCTCTCCTTTCTGATCATCATGTGAGCTGCTTTCCTCTGCCACATTCCTCCACCATGATGTTCTGCCTCACCTTGAGTCTCAGGGAATGGAGCCTGCTCTCTATGGAATGAAATCTCTGAAACCATGAACTCCTAAATAAACTTTTCCTTCTCTAACATTATTCTGGATGGGTCTTTTAGTCACAGCAGTGAAAAAGCTCACTAAAACAGTTACGTCCAGTAGTCCCTCTGTATCCACGAGGGATTGGTTCCAGGATCTTCCAAGGAGAACCAAAATCCATGGGTGTTCAAGTTCTTTTTTATAAATGGTAAAATAGTTGCATATAATCTATATGCCCCAACTTGTATACTTTAAATCATCTCTAGGTTATTTATAATACCTAGTATAGTAAGATGTTATGTAACTGATTTGTCCAAGGAATAATGACAAGCAAAAAAATTTGGATGTGTTTGGGGTAGAAGCAATTTTCCCCAAATACTTTCAATCTGCAAGTGTATTGAATGCAGAACCTACATACATGAAGAGCTGATCGTGTTTAATCCTCTATCAGATATGTATTTTATTATTATTTTTATTTTTAAATGTATTTTATAAATACACATGTATATATAAATACACATATCAAAACTTAACAAATTGCTGTCTTTTTTTTTAGAGTTTGAAAAAATCCAATACTTTGGTTATTCTTTTTTTTTTTTTACTTAAGTTATTCTTGAATTATGCATTTCTATTTATTTTAGAGTACATA